CAATTGTTATTAGACCGCAATCGAATTCGCACGCGTTTTCGTTCGTTCGCTAATTTTCGTCATAGTATCGTGAGCCAAAGTGCAGGCAATTGGTTGAATTTTAATTTCAGTGATTTCACGTGTCCCGACTATTATTTTCTATCTCAAAAACTCTTGAGAAATTTCACCATTAGTTTAACAAACAATATGAGAGAGAATTTGTTGTAATTAGTGCAATGCAAAGAAAGAGAGAAGTTAGCAAAATTAAAACTAAGAGTGCGTTTATACGTATATGTGGCACTGTACATGTACATACTCGTATATCCTACTACTTTATATAAATATAGGGTTTTCCAGTTGCATTTTCTTTCGATTTGTTTCCACGACAGTAGGGACTATGTAACTGGTTCTAGATTTATCTGGTATCTGTCTTTAGATTAACGTCTAGTTGGATGTTAGCCAATAGATGAGTTCAGCAGTTAGTCCTGTTCGATTTTGATATATTCAAGACCTGATAAACTTATCCTACAGATTTGAACAAGAAACTGCCTTTCCTCATTACTGAATTTGTTTATGTGTATACTTTTGCTTGTGCGAATATGTTTAATTTTTTTTTTGCCAAATAGTCGTCAATTGTGGGGAGTGTGAAAATTTTTCTTTCAGTTAAAGACATTTCCGGCTGAAGCACGTCGGAAAATCTTAAAAGTTTTTGGAGACGCTGCCACAAGTGAAAAACCGTGCTATGATTGATTTTCGTCGCTTCAAAGACGGCGATTTCGGTCTTGAAGTTCGCGTGAAGGAAGGCCTTCGAAGACGATGAGTTGAAGACGTTGCTCGATGCGGATCCGTATAAAATGTAAGAAGAGCTTGCTTTTGCACTAGGAGCCATTTCAAAGTATCTACATGCGCTGAGAATGGTTCTGCAATAATAAACTTGATACCAGAAGAGGCAGGAATATGTGATATTGCTGCATGACAATACTCGGCCTCACGTTGCCAAACCCATTAAAATCTATCCCAAAACGCTTAAATGGAAAGTCCTAACCCACACAGATATTGCACCGCCCGATTATTATTTCTTCCATTCGATGGCAAAGGGTCTGGCTAAGAGCAGTTCCATTCACAAGACGACATCGAAAAATAGCTCGATTCTTGGATAGCATCAGAAGATGAACAGTTTACAGTAAACGTATTCGGGCTTTGTGAGAAGGATCGAAAAAAGTTGGGTCCAGCAATGGGCAATACTTCGAGTAATGCATTAAAAAAACGGCGAAAACTTGGTGCCCTACTTTCTTAATCAAATCTTTGTCTAAAATATTTTTTGTAGTAGATATCAGCTATTAACTGACGATGTCGAAACTATGAGAACATTTGTAGTTCAGGGAATTTGTGAGACCCTAGTAAGTGCAATTGAAGGAACAAAGATTTTAATTTTGAGTCCAGACATAAAAATTGGTTTGAAAAGTATTGGAACGTATTTGTGATTACTAAAAGCGAATGCCTTAGGAACGATTCCACTTATGCGAAGACATTGACTCCCTTTGTCTCTTCTATAAACGCCACCGCTATTAAACACATCGGAATATTTAAAATAAGGATGCGAATACTTTTTTACTCTTTCTCCTTAACACGTCAAATATTAGTATCGTCTTAGGGTGCCCGCAGAATGGACGCTTCAAGGCGAACGAACCGTACTTTCACATTTACGCAACTCTAACATTTAGGCTTGGCTCGGCTTTGAGCGCCCACTCTACAGGCATCCTTATTCAGGCGTAGCTGATTTGAGTAGACTATTAACTTCAGGTATCCAAACGAAAATTGATCTAACACATGACCCATATTATGTTGTTGTTAATCAACAAATGTTTTTCATGTTATCGTGAGGTCATCATTCGCCGGAACTATTTAACATTTAGACGATTGATATTAACGTACTAAACCAAAAAGTCGTGAATTATTTGCTAGTACTACGTCCCTTCAAGTTAATGTTGAGTCCACTTTTAATTTTAAGTGTGCATAGATCAATATTAGACCCCTTCTGAATGCAAGATAAGCTGAAGACTATTTATGTCCTATTCGCACTTTAATATGGCAATTCTCAACACCTCATTTTCATGCATTACACTGCATAAACATTTTTGCAAAAAAACAATTTCAAAGATTTCGTATTTTGAAAAATAATTTTATTCTTAATGCTTTAGACATCATCCTTCGAATATTAGTGCTGTCCACATAGCTGCCAGATTCGTACAACCTACTAAGTTGTGGATACATATGCAACCCTCCAACCCACTCTGCCATGAATGTTCACTGACATATCTTGGGACGTATCGCCATAAAATAGTAAGTGGAAAAGCGCCTGTAAAACCAAAAATATCGAAAATATAAAAATTTAAATCTTCGGGGCTTTTTCATCTTACCTGTTAAATAAATTGAAATGACCGAGAGTTTTAAACGGCCAAAAGTAGCACTGACCTCTAGTGGCATGTTTTAATTTTATGGCGTTTGAGAAAAATTTTGCGCCAATTTTATGCCCCCAGCTGTTTCCTAAAATATCAACGTCGTAATTATTCCGCTCATCTCTTATGCTAAAATCATCGTAGATGAAATATTCGTCTGACTGGAAACTTTTTGCAACTAACAACGTTTGCCTTTTGAGATTGGTCATCTTAAGCAAACGATCTAAACCGACAAAGTAGTCATGGCTCGCACTACCAAACCCATTTTTATACTCCAAACAACTGTTAGATATTGTACCTACGCCACTGTTCTCATTACGTAGTATCACAGTCCAGGGGCAACAGTCAATTTGATCCTCTTGTGAACATCTAGTTAAGCAATATGCGCTGAAAGCGTCAAAACCTGGCACGTGTAGTTCGTGAACACCGTCTTTATACTGTGAACCAAGCATCATTTTCACTTCAACACAATCACGTAATGTTTGTGGCGTGCTAACTATTGTCGGCTTTTCCGAAGACGTTACTATTGCCAAACTCTGTGTGGTATTTGCAAGTGAAGCTAATGCTTTGTTCAAATTCTCTGTATTTAAGGTATGTCTTAAGGGGCAACTAAAGCGTATACTAAATTAATTGTGAATTCGCTTTTATAAAATAAGTTCTGCTCACCAATCGTCCCTATGGGACAAGAATTCCTCTTGCAGTAGAGAATTTTCGTCAGACAGTGCTTTGAAGTTTCTGCATTGGAAGATATATTATATAATATGAATATATTTGTATATAAAGTGAGAATTACTTAACTTTTAATAGTGATCAAAACAATAACATTTTTCCAAAAAACTTAAAAACTACTAAAAGTACGATAAATCAATAACTACACAAATACGCCAGAGACTTTAAATTTTTCACCATTTAAAATAAGATGTTAGGCGCGGCACCGCACACACTTAAGGGGTTACATGGGTTTCCTTGGGTAAAAAGCAGCCTTCTTTCAACAATTTTTTCTCATATAAAAAATGAAATATTTTATTGTTCTTCCCGTCTTCGTCCAAGTCTTTAAGAATTGTATGCAAAGACCATGAGTAAAATTTCATGAAGATCGATTTATCGATCCGAAACTAACTTCACGCTCTTGTGACATTTCTCATAAGTAAGGTTTGTCACTTCATCATGGAAGGATGTATGATTCAATTATGAGTCGAAACTATTAAAATTTATTACCGAAATTCGGGGTCAGTGGCCTCAACTTCAAGATCGCTACGTTCAATTTATGGTCGTCGTAATCGTCTTGTCAGATCAACAATTGAGCGTCTGGTGGAAAAATTTTAATCCAGGCGTGGATTTGTACTTGAAACCCGTCGAAAATTGGATTCAGCGTCTGGACTTCTGCAAGCGTGTCCGTGGTGGTCATGGAAAAAAAATTGAGTTCCATACATAATGGCATCGAATGTGCTTTCACAGGAATAAAGAATTTTATATTTTTCTTTTCAAAGCGCTTTTGTAGCGCTCTTCTTGAATACCCACTTATAACTCAGATTAACTTGAAAATTTACGGCGATATTCTAGAGGTGTTGTAAATTTAATAAGACAATAAAAATATCCATTTTTTGAAACCCGTAAACACATATAACCGCTTAATGAAAAACCATATCTTAAGGACGATATCGACCAAATTTGGTATGTATTATTATATTGGAATTCTGATATCGCCAAATCGGACTACAACCACACCTACTTTCCAAATAATATAATTTTAAATTCCATCTGGTTCTTTCACTTTCCAGTATGCAAAACAAGCACCAATGTATATATCGCGATAAAATTTTGTTCGAATAGTGTGCTTAAAGTAGGCCACCTTATGAATGAAATTGTCAAAAGCGGAGTATAACTGTTTAAGCTCCCAGTTCCCTGTTTAAGCTAACAGATACCGATACCGTAAAAATCGGTAAATCTGTGAAATAATTTATTGAAATACGAAAAGACGGTGTGTTCAAAAAGTATCGCGAATTTTGAATTTTCGCGGATTACGTATATTCGAATTTCGAATTTTTTGTGGCGTTATGTTGTTACTCATGTCTCTCACTTATGCCGACAAGCTCGGCCATTTTAAATGTTCATTTAATTGTTGACAGCTGCTTTGCTTGCACGTGTTTTGGATCGTCTTCGATTTTTACCTATTCAAAAAAATGCATCAAAGAACGCCCCTGCTCACACATCGTTGCTTGTGCGCGACTTTTTGGTCAATAACAATACACTAATGATGCCGCAGCCATCGTATTCCCCAGATCTGGCCTCCCGTGACTTTTTCTTGTTCCCTAAACTGAAGAGGCCCATGAAAGGACGACGTTACGCTTCTCTTGACGAGATAACGACGGCATCGAAGGAGGAGCTGAAGAAGATAAAAATAATAATTTTTTGAAGTGCTTCGAAAATTGGAAAAACCGTTGGCACAAGTGTATAATATCTCATGGGGATTACTTTGAAGGGGACAGAATAGATATTCATGAATAAATAAATAATTTTTGAAAAAACACAAAATTTGCGATACTTTTTGAACACACCTCGATGAGCGCGATCTGTCACCCAGTTTCTTTTTAGCAGCTGCTTAAGTAGGTACACCTTAGTAGTGCGTTGCGATTTTTACAATGAATAAAAATATCGAAAAAGGCATTGGTCTAAAATTTTTAAATGTAACCAAATTTTATTTGCGGAATCGCTGCGAATGTTGTAAAAGCCTTATGGTGATTCAGTTTTATAAAAAATAGAAGCCTACGAGTGGTACGAATCCTTCAAAGAGAGATCGTTGAAGACATGCCTAGTTCTGGACAACCTTCGATCCCTTCAAGTATATTAAAAAAGTGAAGAATATGGTGCTTCAAGATCATCAGGTAAGTGTTAGCGAGATGGCAAAAGAGCACGACATCTCTCGCGAGTCCGATCGAATGATTTTGGTGGATATTTTGAACATAAAACGCGTTATTGATCGACTCGTTCCAATGAAGATGATTTTAATTTTCTAAAAACGAAACGATTCTGACCAAATTTCCAGCCAAAAGCGCAATGAATACCATCGCTCCGTATTCACGAGGCTTGGCGTGATATTTTCTTGTTCTCCAAACTGAAATTGTCGCTGGAATCCTTAATGAAACCCAGGGAGTATTAATAGTAATTTTTATTTTATATGGAATAAGGCCAACCAGAAGTTTGAAAATTCTATATTAAGTATATGGCGTCTAAGAGATGTATTTACCCGAATTTGTCTTTCTTTTTCGTTTTTTTTTAAAGCCTTTTGACGAATGTGTCATTCAGTATGTGAGTTATAAATTTGAAATTTGCTTAAAAATATGTTATATAATGTAATTGAGCAATGCCAAAATGAATGCAATCAATCCGTCCCTTTCTCTGCTCTAATATCTAATCATTTTCAACCTGTCACCTGACTTTAAACCATACAAGTTGTTCAAAATGCTTGATACCTTAATGAAATTGAACTCAATGCCAATGGAATTGGTCTAAACCTCATACTGCTAATATAAATAATTTCGATCCTCTGGTTGACGTTTTCCACATTGTCTCAATAACATTTACTCTCATCGGTTGAGTTTATATCCGACTAGGAATGATTTTAATATAATTTTTGTTCGTTTTATATACACCTTTAATGTAAGGTAATAATATACTATTCACGATTTTGTCGAATAATCAATGTTGAGTTCTTTCGCGACATTTAAATTTAATATTAAGTTTTGGCAAACCTAAAAGTTTTTTGCCGCCTTTATACCTTGCAAGTTTTAAGATTATATAATTTTCGGTTACACCCAAACTTAGCTCTTCCTTACTTGTTAAATATTAAAGTTAATTTACTACTTACTCCTCTTGTATCTTCATAGAAGACGCTAAATTCGTTTCAATTGATGAGAGCCGCTGTTCAAACTTCGCGTTGAAAACCTGAAATCTGTTTGGATTTGAAAAATATTATTACTACATGTTTTATATAGTCCTGTCAAAATTCAAGATTATGTAAATTTAAAAGCTGAAAGTGAATGAATAAGCTTTGAACATGTCTAAAAAGAAGAAAAAATGCTAACTTCGGTTGTACCGAAGCGAGAATACTCTTGATATAATGTTCTATGCCTAATATTGGAAGATATCTGCTAAATTAACAAGTAAGGAAGGGCTAAATTCGGGTGTCACCGAACATTTTATACACTCGCATCAAAAACCGTATTTGTGTAAAGTTTTATTCCACTATCATCGTTGGTTCCTAATGTATATATTATACAGAGAAGGCATCAGATGGAATTCAAAATAGCGTTATATTGGAAGAAGGCGTGGTTGTGAACTGATTTCATCCATATTTCGTACATGTCATGAGGGTGTTAAGAAAATATTATATACCGAATTTCATTGAAATCGGTTGAGTACTTCCTGAGATATGGTTTTTAGTCCATAAGTGGRCGACGCCACGCCCATTTTCAATTTAAAAAAAAGCCTGAATGCAGCTTCCTTCTGAGATTTCTTCCGTATAATTTAGTGTTTCTGACGTTTTTTGTTAGTCGGNTTGCTAACGTCTCTTCTCCGTTATTTTCGCCGTAGGCTATTACCGGCAACAATATGAAGAGCAAGCAGCCTAGAACCGTATACTTGCGTGGATTCGGCATTACGCAGCAATTGCCAAAACCCGACTGCATACTTCAAGCGGAATTTTGAATACATAAAACCATTTATTGCATCTGTTATCAGTATTTCAATATATTTCGTGTTATCTTTATATAAGAAACGCCTTTATAAGCTATTGTTCTAAGTTAAACCGTCTTTTTAGAGTTCATCCTTCGGTTCGCTGTGATACTCGCGCAAGAAGACACAGTCTGTAGCATTATCTCATTCTCAAAGCACGGGAAAACACCTTATCGTTTCAAGTATATTAATAAATTCTACCTTCACAAGCTACATAAATACCATACATACACTAACCACAAAAGTGTATATACGCTTTACTGATATTTGATTTACCGTTATGCAATTGATTTGGTCTTTTGTTTATGAATTTTTTTTTGGGTTTGCGTGGTCAGTTCTTTTGTAATTGTGGCCGTGAAAACACCTTTAGTTTATATATAGTTGCAAAATGTTTAAAAGAAAACTTAAAAGCGAAGGAAAATCCCTTGGGGAAATTGGAAAAATTACAAATTTATCGAAAGCAACAGTTCAGGTGGTAGTTAATAATTTCAACGAGACAGATAGCTATGAAAATAAGCCTCGCCCTGTTCGCCCACCTAAACTGGATTTGAGGATGCAAAGGCAAATTATTCGTACAATCAACCTTTGTCCTAGAGAAAATGCCGTTCATATCCAGAAACCGTTCGAGGATGTTTAAAAAAGCAGAGTAGCGAGAAGAAAACCATTGTTAAGAGATGCAAATATTGCTAAGCGGCTTAGCTACGCAAAAAAATACGAAAACATCCACCAAACTGATGTCTCTTATACACATCTAGTTTAGGACTTACAAACAACCGTTATGTGAACAAAACTATAATACTCTCTTTAGCAACTTTGTTGCGAGAGTATAAAAACGTATTTACATACATATATCTCCTTTGCTCTTATCACGGTAGCATTGTAACTAGAATCGACTTTGCTGCACAATCCGGCAACATTATATACTAGGCCGTTAACAAAACTTCGCCACTCGAACATTTTGGCTACTACGAATTTCATTGTCTAGTTAATAACTGCAATTTTTCGTGCATTATATTTAATTCTCGTATCGGTGTCCGTCGCACTGCCTTCCACCTAAGTCTGAACGTCCCTATTCGATATTTGCGGTAGCAAACACATAGCATTTATGTCCTTTATTTTGTGTTTTTGGATGCTGTTATCTGTCCTTCTCTTATTGGAGTTAATTTCATGCGTTTCCAGACACCCACTGTGCTGCACATCGCTGCCATTGAAGCTGTTTTGACATGTCTTTATCGGTCACAACGTAATACTATTGAAACACCATAACTCATCATTCACTTATTGATGTATACGTCTACTACTGGCTCAGCATCTCGATTAGGAATATGGTATACTTGTGGCAATTCGCTGAAATGTTCCTTGACTACCAAAATTTGTGTGTTCCCCTATTTATTGGTGGGAGATGGATCACCTACATCCAATCCATCAATTGCTCAAATGGCGTAACCAAATTTTTTGGCTTCATTCGGCCATGACTTTTGGATCTAGACCGCTTAGTTACAACGCACTTGACATATTTCACAACCTTCTCAGTAACCAATTGACGACAACCAGCCCATAAAACTTTAATTTCACAAAGATTGTGACGACGTCTATTCTACCTGGTTCTCGTATCGCTATTCGTCACAATAATGTATGTATATATGAATTGTAAATGTAAATAAAATTTATAAAAAAAAAATAAAGAAACGGGCGTGGGTTTTCGGTAACCACGTACGTGAATCAATTAATCGCAGTCGACCACACGCGTTATAAGTAAGATGTGTGTTCTAGGACAGCAAGGATAATTGATAATTTAACTGTTACTGTTGACCTCAGCAACATGTAACATTAGAAAGTACTATAACTGTCAATTTCTAGGCATTACACTCAGCATTCTGGTCACCTCTACTTAGTTCGGGATTTTTTGGCGTATGGCTGCCTAAGCCGATCAACTGATGCGAATGAGCTTATTATGTGCAAACAAAACTTTTATTTCATACTTACTTTTGATTCAACTTCTCAGCAGTATTCAAGTTTAGCTCCAATGTGAAAATTTGTTTTTCGAGTTTTGCTAGCAGATTTTGCAGTCTAAGTGAAACACAGATTATATTGTATTACAATGTAAATATAAAGCCATTTTCATTTACCTTAGTAATTTATCATCGAAATCGTTTAACTTCGTTTCGTGTTTATTGACTAAACTAATAACATTTTGAATTTCATTTCCAACATCTAAATAAATTGCTAACGTCTCTTCTCCGTTATTTTCGCCGTAGGCTATTACCGGCAACAATATGAAGAGCAAGCAGCCTAGAACCGTATACTTGCGTGGATTCGGCATTACGCAGCAATTGCCAAAACCCGACTGCATACTTCAAGCGGAATTTTGAATACATAAAACCATTTATTGCATCTGTTATCAGTATTTCAATATATTTCGTGTTATCTTTATATAAGAAACGCCTTTATAAGCTATTGTTCTAAGTTAAACCGTCTTTTTAGAGTTCATCCTTCGGTTCGCTGTGATACTCGCGCAAGAAGACACAGTCTGTAGCATTATCTCATTCTCAAAGCACGGGAAAACACCTTATCGTTTCAAGTATATTAATAAATTCTACCTTCACAAGCTACATAAATACCATACATACACTAACCACAAAAGTGTATATACGCTTTACTGATATTTGATTTACCGTTATGCAATTGATTTGGTCTTTTGTTTATGAATTTTTTTTTGGGTTTGCGTGGTCAGTTCTTTTGTAATTGTGGCCGTGAAAACACCTTTAGTTTATATATAGTTGCAAAATGTTTAAAAGAAAACTTAAAAGCGAAGGAAAATCCCTTGGGGAAATTGGAAAAATTACAAATTTATCGAAAGCAACAGTTCAGGTGGTAGTTAATAATTTCAACGAGACAGATAGCTATGAAAATAAGCCTCGCCCTGTTCGCCCACCTAAACTGGATTTGAGGATGCAAAGGCAAATTATTCGTACAATCAACCTTTGTCCTAGAGAAAATGCCGTTCATATCCAGAAACCGTTCGAGGATGTTTAAAAAAGCAGAGTAGCGAGAAGAAAACCATTGTTAAGAGATGCAAATATTGCTAAGCGGCTTAGCTACGCAAAAAAATACGAAAACATCCACCAAACTGATCCAACCTTTTGGGAACGTGTCATTTTTACCGATGAGCGTAAATTTAATATTTTCTCCAACGATGGTCACACCAAAGTCTGGCGTAAAAAAAAAATACTTCCCTGCAACGAAAAAATATTGTTYCCACCGTTAAGCATGGTGGAGGATCTGTGAAGGTGTATGGTTGTATGGCGCCTAGTGGTGTTGGACACATAAGATTTATCGATGGAATAATGGATAAACATATGTATATTGACATTCTTAAGGACACATCCCAAGTCTCGAGAAACTTGATTTGCCAGGTGAGCCTATCATGCTTCAAGACAATGATCCGAAGCACAATTCTGTAATGGTGAAGGAATGGTTGTTGTATAACGTGAAATCGAAGTTGGAATATCCGCCATAATCTCCTGACTTAAATGTTATTGAGCATTTGTGGGATCATTTGAAGAAACATATTAAGAAAAGGCGTGCAACATCAAAATCGGATCTGAAGGCTATTATAGTTGATGAGCCTTGTCTATGCCGTCTCGTATATTCGAAGTTGTTAAAGCCAACGGAGGCCATACAATATATTAACTATTTATTTTTAATGTTTTTTCCTAACACCGTATGTATGTACACTTATGTGACAATTCCTTTTAATGAATTTTAAATTTTTGCTTTTGCTTATCGTTTTACTTTCAATGAATTGTTATGTTTGTTTTTTTTTCCAACTTTTAAACAATAAATTAAATAAAACTGTTAGAAAATCGAAAAATTCGTATGTTCACTTTTGTGGTTAAGTGTATGTACTGATCATTATATTCAGATATTATATTCGTCCACCGACATTAGAGTGAAGAAAACTCTATTATCCACTACAAGACTTAAGTAACTTTTAAATCTGGCATCCTATATCGAAGGTTCGGAAGTAACTTTGCAAAACCATGATATAATTTATGGTCGATGTTCTTCTGTTGTACAATTGTGTCCCATGCAAACTACTTCCGTTTTAATCTTTCCAGTTTATCTTTCGAAACGGGAAATTTTGTGCAATTTCCTGTCGTTGACCCGTTTTAGCCTCCGGTCCTGAAAGATGCGCTGATAACCGATAATGAAATAACGGAATTAATATACCCGACTTCGATAACCAAACCGGATGTTGTAGAATGGAAATGATTACAAATAACGTGGGTAAATTTTACATTCGTTTCCGGTGATAACAGAAAAGTTTTGTGAGGAAAGCCGGAAATAATGCTTGATGGCGAATTGTATACAGAGTACTTCTAATTTTCGTATCGCTGGTTTTTGAAGAAATTATGGTAAAAATGATTATTTCTCCTAAGTGAGGGTATTGAAATGTGGTATGGAAACATTTCACAAGTGTTTCTCTACGTGTTCCGAGTCCCAAACACTGTTACGCTGCAGAGCACTAAATCTCTTACAAAAATACGATTTCACTTTTGCTGTGTGTCAAGTCACAAAGGCATCAATGACAGTGAGATGTTGGATCTGGGAAAGAGCATGGCAAGGAAGTTTAAAATTCGATGAAAGAATTTATTAGGATGCCTGCAGAATGGAGCTGACACATTGAGATAATTGCAGGAAATATCAAGAACAAGGCACCAGGGAAACAATTGAACATCTCGCTTTTCCACTGACTTAATGCGGGCTTTAGATCCATAGTCTCTTAGGCAATGTTGTTTAGTAAACTCCGAAAAACATTTCTCGCATACACGGTTTTGCGATATCCTGGATGGCTGTAAATCGAGCCGCTCTAGTATATACATATTTCAATTATTTTGCTAAGGAGATAGTTTTTTATAACCATTCTTTCGTTCAGTCTAGGAAACATTATGGACCAATGTTGGCCACTAGTCATCGCACGGTGGCTTTACGACAGGCCGCACATTAAGATGTCTGCTATGTTATACCTGACAGAGTAAGAGTTAGTATGATATTTTAAGATTTTAATGAAAACAGCAAAAAAAAAAATTGGAAAGAAGGTCATTCATTCATTGATATACAACGGTATCCATAAAGCAGTTGATTGGGCCTCGAAACCTTCGTCATCATAAATCTCATGACACACACACCATTCGTTACATGACCGCGGAAGCATATACTATATTAACGAAATAATGGAAATGTTGTGGGCCTAAGAAGACCCCGCTGGTGAACCCTTACTCAATTAAATGCAATGACTGCATCGAGTACTTAGCCTCAGAGAATTCAAGATAATGCTACTGGGTAACTTAAAGGTCCATATTATTATTATTTTTAACTCACTGACATTTAATATAATATGCATATGAACCTATCTTTAGATTACCAATTTATTTTAATCTCATTCTCTCGTTTTGTAACATTCAGTGTAGTGCCAAGCCCTGCTCATTATCTACGTTAAAAGTGGTGTCGATGGTGATGGTAACTAGGTCTTCTTTGTAGCGAGCTGAATATTTGACATGATAAAAGACTGACATGATTGCCATCTGTCATATTAAAATTAATACAATTCTTACCTTTCTTGTGTCCCAATGGAAGACGCCACGTTAGTGTTAATTGATGAGAGTCTCTGTTCAAACATTGCTTTGAAACTCTGTAATCTGATGTAAAACAAACGGTTTCAGAAATTTGTATGTATGAATTGTAACGTTAAATTGTTAAAAAAAATAGAAGCCAGTTGCTGGTGAAGAATATAACATTACATTGTATTTACTTTTTGAAAGCAAAATAATCTCCTAACCTTTCTTTTTCATAATAACTCTCCGCTGTTGTAATCATATTAGGTAGTCGAAAAAGTATTTTCGTATTTTGTCAATGAAGTCCTCGCAGTCGTATATCTCCAGTGCTAGCAATCACATTGTGTCATGTCATATAGTTTTGGAAAGGTTAAGCATTAAGCTTCATTTAACTACAAAAAATTTAAGTTCGGCGAAGTTGAAAAAAGTTGCAGCTGTTCAAAAATGAGTGAAAACAATGAAGAAATTCGCTATATTTCGAAATTTTTGTATAAAAAAGGGAAAAATGCCAATGAAATTTTGAAGTTTACGGAGACGATGATGTATCAGTTCGTGTGGCACAATGGTTCGTTCGCTGCGAATTTCGAAATTTCGTTTTACACTGATATAATAATATCTCTAGCGGAAAAATGGCAAGAAGTGGTCGACCAAAATGCTACATATTTGTTTATTTATTTATTAGTATAAATATAAAAAGAAATAAGTTGAAGTTGGATTAGAAATACGAAAAGACTTTTTCGACTAACCAATATTAAGCGCTTCCCGATAACATAATTTAAGCGCCAAAAATAGTAGTTTTTGCACAAAGTGAACCTGAAGTTAGAAATGTGCTCATCGATTCAAGAAGTTTAAAGTTTTATTTGGACAAGCTCCAAGGCATCTTCAAGAAACCCTCAACTGACAGTCGCGTTGTGTTTCCTATACAAATCCTTGCATTCGCATAGAAGATGTTCTGCAGTCTCTTCTTTTTCTACCTCTTGAGGGTGCCTACAATGGTCATTGTATAGTGTTCCCAGTCTTTTAGCCTCCTACTACAGTTCTTATGGCATTCCTCTTGAATTTTAATTGTCGACATGTGCGGCCCATATTCCCTTCCACGCCAATCATCGTGACTTAGTCATGTCTATAATATATTTGTCGATTAAATATCCACAAGTGGCCAAAGGCATAAAAATTCTCTCCTTTTAAGAGTCTATGCGAAAAGAGTCTATACCAAAATCATAGCCTGCATTTACCTTTTATCCAGCGCAGCCATACAATTTTGCTCCCACTTCGAAAATTCTTTTTCGAAATTTTCCAGCATATTTTGAATTCTAAATACAACACAGTTTTTATTATTATGTAAACACAAATCCGAGTACTTTTGTCGTGGATAGTTTTCATTTCACTTGCCTTAGTAATTTATCATCGAAATCGTTTAACTTCGTTTCGTGTTTATTGACTAAACTAATAACATTTTGAATTTCATTTCCAACATCTAAATATATTGCTAATGGCTCTTCCCCGTTTTTTTCGCCGTCAACTATTGTCGGGAATAGTATGAAGAGCAAGCAGAATAGAACCGTATACTTGCGTGGATTCTGCATTTCTCAACGTTTTCCAAAATGCGCCTGTTTACTGCAAGCAGAACTTCGGACTTATGTAACGGTTTATGGCATCTGTTATCAGGATACGAAAATATTTCGCATTATCTTATTATAAGAAGCACATTTGTAAGCTGTTGTCACACCGTCCTTGCAGAGTTCATCTTTCAGTTCGTGTAATATTCACCAACGAGTCTTTCACATTATCTCATACACAAAGCTTGGGTAAAGACCTTATCGCTTTGTGGCTCAAAATTATACCCGTTACAAGTTATGATTGAGTCTACACATACATACATATTTGATTCGTCCACCTAGGTAAGATTGTGGAAGAATATATTCTTTACTAAAACTCGGGCATTAAAATTGCGATACATCTCTTTCTTAACAATAATGTACGATCACACTGATGTACAAGGTTTCATTGTTTTTAGAATATATGTATTTCCAATAAATACCCGAAGCTCTTGAGTTGAATTTCAGTTTTTGTCAGAAGTTAATGGCAGTTGCGAAACTGTATGAATCACTTTGCTTAGTAATACTCGGGAAAGTGCACCGTATATGTACATGTTCTTGAATCAGCTTCAGTTTCTTCGAACCTCCTTTTTAACGCAACTTGTCAATGTAGAGAGGCTTTATAACTTGTCATATTTATATACATATATATTTTCAATGTTCTTATCACAACTACCAGCCAGACAGCCAGAGTACACTCAACATTTAGAGAGAACACTTCTCAACTCAGCTAAATTGCGAAAGCAGTGAGGCGACGAATGAAGAGAACCCGCACCAATAATCTACCGTAACAACATTATTGTCCAGCCACTTGACCTAGACGAGATATTAAATGTTCTGAGGCGGCTTAAGAATAGCACAGCCTCGATCGATTACCGGTTGAGCTGTTTAAAGCCGGTGGCGGAGAGATGCAAAGGCGCATATTCCAACTGATTTAGGCGGATGAATACACGCCCAATGTTTGGTATACTAGTGTACTCCGAAGGAAAATCCTGCAGTCTGAGTTAATTATCGCGGGGTCAGCATTCTTAACACTGCACATAAGCATCTTTCGACATAAATTTGTGGAAGACTGAAGCCCATTGCAAATAGACCAGGAGTGTGACTTTTAACCTGTCAAATCCATCATTGAGCTGCCTCTTCGACGTCATGCCTAAATTTGATATTCCGGCGAAGTTGATACAGTTATGCACAATAACGTTGAACATAACCATCAGCTTCGTCAAAATCGTGAAGGTGAGCCGCCTCATGCGTCTTCTTCAATATAATGCTGTAAAAAGTGATACGCGCTGTAAATCTAAACCGCAGTGGCACTGTCTACTCTAAAAGTACAATGCCGCTGGGGTCCGCAGATGATATTGGCATCGTAGATTTCAACAAGAGGGCCATCAGCGCAGCCTTTTTCAGGTTTTGCTCTTGTGGTGAACGAGAGCAAGGCAGAGTACCTGGAGGTCACATACCACCCAACATAAATTTGAAAAAGTGAAGGACTTTGTATATTTCGAAACCAGCACAAGTCCCACCAACAATCTAAGCGTGAAGATCAAGCGTAGGAGACTGTTACAAACAGGTACTATTGTATGATCGGTAAGCAATTGAGAAACATATCCTTTCCTGGACGAACACAAATTTCTCTCTATAGGTTTCTCATCATTCCCGTCCAACTATTATACGGCGCAGAAATATGGACGACGACGAACCAAGATGAGAAAGCAGATGGAGCATTCGAATGATCTGTGCTGCGCAAAGCCTTTGGACCCGTCCATGTGTGATGAGCTTCGAAGATTGTGATATCACGATCTATATGAGCTCTATGGCGACATGGGTATATTTAAGCGCATCAAGACTCAACTTAGCTGCTTAGGCCATGTTGTTCGCATGGAAGATGATGTTGCAACGAAAAGTGTAAATTATTATAAGAAAGAACATTTTTTTGAATTAATTTTTTTAAGTTTATCTCTTTTAAATGTTGACCGCGGCTATGTCTCAGATTGTCCATCCATTGAGTCCAATTTTCGATGACTCACTCAAGCATACCTATCTGGTAACTGGCGATTGACATGCGTGATGTTTTGCTCCAAGCCCTGTATGGAAGCGAGATCGTTCGCATAGACTTTTGACTTTACATATCCCCACACGAAAAAGTCTAACGGCGTGATATCACACGTTCTTGGTGGCCAATCCACCGGCCCAAAACATAAATTTATCTGCTCACCGAACTGTTCTTTCAATACATCCATTGATTGATGCGATGTGAGGGAAGTGGTGTCATCTTGTTGAAACCAAATGTCGCCGAGATCACGAGCTTCAATTTCAGGCACCAAATATGTATTTGGTTATCATTTTTAAAGAAATATGGTCCGAACCCATTCTGAATAAAATTTGTCTCGAAGACGTTGGATCTTCTTGGAACATTTCAAGAGCCTATAGAGAGAAGTAGATCTTCCATATCTGGCTTTATTTCCTACTCAAGCTGTATTTTGTACGCTTTCAATTTAAGAACTCTGCTAACGGCGTCGAATCAACTCTCCACGGTCTTCGTGTACTCGCGTGATGCGTCAAAAAAAGGCTATTGAAAAATTTCCTCTGCTTGGATCACCCGTTATATATTCTTAATCTGGATAACATCCGATATCCGATAACAGAAAGATATCTGACAGAGTTTTTGTTTCTGGTATCGAGCTGATCCGTTTTCCCAACAGTCGGTTCGACCGGAAAGCACCCAGAATTTTTTTCGGCCAACCACTGTATAGTTGTCAAATGTTTTTGAAGAATATTCTCAGCAACAATTTCGAACCGATCCTATCTGTTTCGCTTTTCTTTTAACTTGCATAAGCGTCAAAACGTTTGAATTTATTTTTGGTGGAACGTTTTTTCTAGTTTTGTTTATAACTTTGTTAGAGGTATTCTGTTGTCAATATAAGCGATGGCGCAATGTAACACGTGGGACAAACCACACGGCGGCTGCGTGCAGACTTGCGAACGCAAAAACAACATCAGGGCAGAGAGCACTGGCGTACGAGCAGCTTTCTTTTATCCAGCCGGTGGCATTTACAAGGGTTACTGGTTACGCAATCAACATCACCGTTATGGCGTTAAGGAGTCACAAAAGCATTTCATCTATGATGGCCAGTGGTGTAACGGTAAACGTCACGGTTACGGTACAATGCGCTATCGTCTGCCGAATGGCACAGCCGAACGCTTATATGTGGGCGAATGGCGTGACGACAGGAAGTGGGGCGAGGGCAAGCAGTTTTTTCGAGACGGCGTCTACTATGGTTGGTGGGAGAGGAATCGACGTCATGGACCGGGTGTCATGTGGTACAACAATGGCGCCATTTACATGGGCGAATGGGAGGCGGACGTGAAACACGGCATTGGAGTCTACTTTTATCGTCAGTTGTGTATTTAAAATTTCTGCGCTCGTTTTCATTGTTTATTGTTAGAAAATGGCAATCGTTATGAGGGACACTTTGCGAGGGGTTTCAAAAATGGTGAGGGCACCTACTATCACATGCATACTGGTCAAATACAGAAAGGCATGTGGGAAAATGATGTGTGTAAGGCGTCAATGGTCATTGATGAGTTCCGCAATCAGGTTGACAATCCAACGCCGTATCCTATACCCAAGGTGACTATTTATGATTAATCTAGAAAGCTTTTTTGAAACCTTATTCTGAAATACAATAGCTTGGATTGCAAGATCCGGACAAATTTGTATGTCAGTTGTTCCAGCGCTATATTGCCAATGCATTCAAGCCCACAAAGTCATTCAATGTAAGCCTACATTTTTATTAACCAAAATCGGTATCTCTTAAGATCATAGTTTATCGCTGTTATATTTCAGGAACTGATTTGTCTTAATTTTGCACATAAAATGAAGAGCTTCACCAGATTCGAGCCGAGAACAATACTAAATTCCAAATTCAGCTTCGATGTCAAGCTTCCTTGTACATGTAAGAAGGTTGAGCAACTGGTGCATCTGAACCTTTAAGACCAAATCTTGAAATTCATCCACAAAATCCACAAACTTCCTTATAAATAATATACGTATACCATATAACTGTAATAATGGTTATAATATCAAATTCTTGAACTCAAGACTGGCATATGGTTAGTGTGGTAGTTTCGTACTCCAATAGCACTTTATCTTCACTCCCAATGTAAACTATGCTACCGGAGAATGACTGTAGACTACAGGTTCCTAAGAATATCATAATGCAAACTCAAAGTCATGGCGCCTAGTTGAGTTCATTGGAAACTGCTTGGACTTCTGCTTTGATCGCGTGACTAACACCTTTTGTGCTGACAAGTCCACAGTGCTTTTTTGCCATGGTCCCCAACCATTAGGAGAAGAAACTCCGAAGGCATTTTCCGACTGTCGTAAAAACGAGTTTTCTTATTAGAAATAGTGCTGCGATTGGTGTGCAATACATTGTTGTTGTTACGGGTACCTAATCCCTGTTAGGATGGTAAGAATTAGCAAAGTTGTCGTCGACGTCATCCAACGGTGGGCCCAAGAAACTCGCTATTTCGGCGAAGTAGAACTAAAAGGAGACACGCTAAACTCTTACAACTTTAGCAGGACTAATGCAGAATATTTTAGGTGAGATCCAACTTAATTTTATGAGATTCAGTTTGATGTCATGCGGAGACTCATTGCATGCACGACGTATATTGCTGTCTATTTTGAATAAGTAGGAGATCCAGAACAAAGCTGCGCAAGGTTCACTATCGCCACTACGCCATTCACTAAAAGAGACTCGGTGTAGGTGTTAATGCTCCACTGTGAATAGCGCTCAGTGCTTGTCAGAAGTTAGTTAAGTCCGAAAGTTTGATCGGCGTATTGTCTGACATCGTCGACGTAGTTGAGGAATAACCTTTTGGTGTTCTTAAGAGGCGGTTTCGCTCCAAGCATACGAGCCTTACTATACAGGTATTCATTAGGAAACATCAATAGGCATCCCGTCATAGTCCGAAGTCCAATATTCTGACAAGTCTGGAACTTCCTCGTCTGCGTTTCACTACATCTAGGCGACCCTACTGGTGCGGCGTAGTTAAGCACCGGCCGGCCGATTGCCTTATAACAACGTTTCTTTGGATTTTGTTGCGGCTCTGTACTCGTGGTATATGAGGAGTGAAGGAGCACAGACTCTCAAAAGTCATGCCTAAAACTTTAGGATTATTGATAGTCGGAATCTTGACGCCATTGACTGTAATATTAATCTAAAGGCTATACTCCTTCGCCCAGTTTGTAAATATGATCGCTATGGATTTAGTGAGGGAGAGTGTGATATTCCGCGCAGCGAGGAAGCGAGAAAGGTCGGAGAGATAGCCGTTTACCATTGAACACATGTCATCAATTCCATTGTCCGACGTCAATATCGTGCAATCATCAGCGTACGAAGTGACAGAAACTACCTCTGGTGGCTGTGAAAGTTTCGAGATATAGAAGGTAAACAATATCGGGGAGATAACACCACCCTGAGGAACGCCTTGTTTACTTCTTCTCAGTTTTGAGTTTTTACCTCGCAATAGCACAAATGACACACGCTCAGGTGTTTCATGTTCCACCTCTTCAGTCCTGGAGGGAGCGTAGTTTTTCGACATCCTGCAGTAGGGGTTTGTGACTGACAGCTTCAAAGGCTTTTGACAAGTCCAATGATACGAGGATCGTTTTCTCACAGGGTGGTTTCTGATTAAGGCCACGAACTATCTGGGCGCTTATGACGCCAAGTGGTGTGGCGGTACTGTGCACTTTTCGTAAGCCATGCTGATAGTTCGCTAGGTTCAGGGGGCGTGTGCAGGTTGCCAAGTATTTCATACTAACTACTGATGAAAAAAAGGATATATGTGACCTGGTCTACGAAAAGGGAGCTCACGTGCGGAAACTAGTTTTCTGGGAAACAGCTGTTAAAAAAAAGCATCTCATCTTCCATCCGAATCAACTAAAAAGTGAAAATTGATTTTTGACACCTAAGCCCCCTTTCCGTAGAGCAGGTCACATACACAAAAAAACAAAAAAAGAAAACAAAAAAAAAACAAGAAAAAAAAAATTAAAAAAATATAAACGACCAAAATAAAAACTAAATAAACAAAAAATACAAATATGTTCAAAAAATGAAAAAAGTAATAATGGTAATCATAAAAAACTTAAAAAAAAGTAGTGAAATATGTAATTATAAATATCAAAGTTATAAAAACTGTAAAAATAAGTTGCAAAACTATAATAAAAAATATTAGCAGGGAATTAAAAAAAAAAAAATGTATATACAACTGTGTTCGAAACAATAGCAGTGGCATAAACAAGAATTCAAATTAAGCAAAAAAATTGTGTAATTGATTTTTATTATGGCTTATTATTATTGTGTTTAATTCGCTCGTATACAAACTTAAAAGAAAAATGATTTCTTTAAAGAATAACATAAATTTCTACTTTAAATAAATAAAAAAAAGTTTGTAAATGAAAATTTCAGCTGTGATTAATAATAGCAGTATTGAGGATTTTACATTAAAAATTCAATTTACAACTTGTTCATTATAATGATATAAAATAAAGTTTAAACAATTCGTATTTCGTCGAATGACCGCTGTTGGATAACACAGTTGCGCATGGAGTCCAACAAACGCCTGAATTTCTCAAAAGGAATGGCCATCCACGCCTTCCTCACAGCACTCTATAATTGCTTCGTATTTGACGAATTCTCTTTCCCTACAGCTTCTTTGTCCTCTGTCCAAAGATTCTCAATTGGATTAAGGTCCGGCGACTGAGCCGGCCAACTCATAACCACAACTCCATTAAGAGCAAACAAATTTTTTGCCAACCTGTTGGTATGTTTGGTGTCGTTATCTTGTTGATAGACCCATTTATAGACAATATTTCAACGTACAATTTGCCATCAATGTTTCATTAATCCACCTATACCATAGTAAGACAAGCACCATCATACATTGTTTTTGGCACCTCCATGTTTTACCGTCCGCGAAATATATTTAGGATCACATGAAGCATTTACTGGCCTTCGTACATACTGTCGGCGTTCTCGGAAACCAAATAAAACAATTTTTGTTTTATGGGACCACAATATGTTGCCACTGCTATTGTTCACAAACCACTGCTATTATTTCGAACACAGTTGTATATAAGGTTACAAGTAAATATAAAAACATATGAAGAAAAAATAAAAAAAAAAATTTTTAATATATAACGAAAAATGAGAGAAAGGGGGAAAAAAATACAAACTTAGAAAAAATATAGGGGTCAATCCATCCTTAACTTACTATACATTGAAAATATTTTTTCAGGCGGAACATTTTTTTATGTTTTTTAAGGCAAAATATTGGACACGTATTTTTTATTTAGACTGAATATGAAAAATTTTGGTTAAGGGACTTTTCGACTGTTGAAATTAAAAGTTTAAAAAACAATATATAGAATAAATTAGTGCAAGAATATAATGAATTACAAAAAAATTGAAACGTGTAATTCTATAAAATGTGTCACAATTTCCATCTTTATATTCTAAGCTAAAAAATAAAGCTTTAGAAAAGGTCACTTTTCCAAATTGCCGCAATTTTGAACTATTTCACGATAACAATCTTTGGTGTGCTTCTTGAGCGTTACAACAACAACAAAACATATAAAAAAACATCTGTTTTCATAAAATTTATAATAATTTATTTTCAAGATCGTTTCATTATTTACGCATAGTTTATAAGTATTATTCAAAATTCTTTTTGTTTTTGCTTTTTTACTTGGTATTTGAAATACGTACGCACGCAATAATGGTATGGTAGTAATCAAAGTGATTACACGCATTAGTGCAGCTGTTTATCATTATCATTCAATTAAAACCTTTCGTTATCATTACACATAAACAATTACTTGCTGCATATCAGCACGTACAAGCTAACTATCAACCCTACCCGCGCAAGCGCCGCACGTACCATGCTGCAACATTCCATAAAATACATGTATATATGCACCTTCACCACAATTACTAAGTATGTATGCGTTAGTTAGTGTAATATTTAGAAATGCACTGTCAGCAATTGTATGTTCGCTGCAAATAAATGTTCAAATATTAACAATAAAGTGGCGGCGACACAGAATATATATAACAAATGCATAATTATAAATGTATGTATGCATGTGTGTATACAACTGCCTAATACCCGTTTAAAAGCAAAATATAAATACATATATATAGATAAATTTGAACTAAAGTAAGAACTTAGTACGTTGTTGCGGAGAAGGCTTGCGGCAAACACTGCACATAACTGTTGACACAAATATATTAGCGGTTAACTATGCAACGTGCTTTTTATGTTTACAAGCGAGTTATTGTTGTTTTATGTCAAAACGCGAGCGTTTTTTGCACTTTTTCACACCACTTTAGCAAGTTAATGCACTTTTCACACAAAATACAGTTATTGATGCTAAAATCTTTCGCATGAATTATGCTGCACACATCTGCGTCGCTGCTGTTGTTGCGGCGGCGGCGCTGCCAGCCAGCTGTTTGACATTTTCGCTTTTGTTGTTTGCTTGCCTTTCTACTTTCTAGCCTATGTTTATAATTTCAAAATTTCTGCTTTAATAGCTTCATTAAATTATTGTAGTGTTTTTTGTTTTTGTTTTTTGTTGTTGGTTTTTACTTTTAGTTTGTTTCGCTTAAATTGAGGTGTACATTGCGTCTGTCAAAAACGCACTTATTATGGTTATGGTCATCATACTACGAGTAATGCATGACTATCAACATCGTTGCTTGTCTATTTTTCTTCATTTTTATCGCTTTTGTTTAGTTGCATAATTTCAGTAGAATATTTTTAATAAATACGTTCGTAGAACAACAAATAAGCTTGTGCACGCAGCACCGCCTCCTCGTTGACCTCTTGCACGCGTGAATCGGACACATAATACCACTTGCCCATGGGCACTTGCACATCGCGCGCCTCATCGTCACCGCCGTAAGCGCCGCCACTGTCTGCTGGGTTGTCAGGCAGCTCGTCTGTATCGGAAGTGCTTGTTGTTGTCGATGAGCATTCACTGCTGTTGGAGAAGTCATCGCTGTCGTTGGCGGCCTTCATGCGCAATTCGCGCGCTTTCTCTTTTGCCAATAGCTCCTCGAGTTTCTTGCGCTGTTCGTCGTCTTGATCGAGTTCGGCTTTGCTGCCTTGTGGCAAGAATTTCCAGCGTTTGTCGTCACGCGAAAGTTTCGGACGCACTTTTACATAGGCGGTGTAATGGCCGCCGTACATGCCGCCCGAGTGTTCGACAATACCGTAAAGTGCGTATAACAGTTTCTTTTGTTTGCGATCGATATTTGGCAAATTTTTTACTTTAGAACCGCAGAAGGGCGCTATGTCTAGTACCATGGGGAAGCTGACCGCGCGTGTTAGCTTGCGGAATATGCAACGCGGCCCGAGTTGGAAACGTTTCAAATGTAGTATTAATACAGCTGGCGGACTAGATATTAGAAACTGTTTGGTCGCATTCGTATTGATGGTCTTGGCTTTCGGATCGCTACCGTTAATGCGTTTGGTGCAATTTTCGCAACCGACCTTATTGTTGCCCGTCATCAACTCAACGCCGGTGAAATTATTCAGGCATGATTGTACGGAGCACTCGCCGTCTTCGCATTGATAACGCGGCGCTATGGTCGTGCTCCAATCGGAATGGCTTTGAGTGCGCACTCGCTTGGCCTTCATGCGCGCTGCCTTTTGCTCGCTTAGTTTAAGCTGTTCCAGTTGTGCAGCAAGCGCGGCTTCGTCTTTCATTTCGCCATTCACAAAAATGCCTGCCGCGCTGGCCGCATTGGCTGCACTGGCTGCATCGGTAAGGGAGAGTTGTCGCATCATCGTGGCACCTTTTTCGCTGAGACCAACCGCTACCAAACTATTGTTTGCAGTTACGCTGTGCGCATCACCACTAACGGCACCGCCATTCGTTTCGGAAGAGGATAAAAAGTTGGTGCCTGCATTAGCGGGACTATTGGCGATGCCTGAAWCTATGCGAAAAAAATGTATTAAGGTAAAATATGTAGCATTATTTATGAATATTTATAATTGTTACCGTTTTCGTCTTCATCTAGTGAGTCTTTGTCCATATTCTCGGGTGAGTCGTCGCGTTTCTCTGATTTGCCAGTGCGCGGTAACTGCTTGTTACCGTTGCTGTCGTAACTGTTTGCGCCTGTAGTTCGCGTTGATTTCGTGGCCGCGTTGTCATCGAGCAGGTTGTCTTCAACGTCAGCATCGGATTGTTCAGAAGAAGATCCGGAAGAGGAAAATGCCGCGCCGTTCACACGTCTAATGCATTCCATTTCGAAAGCCGCTGTTTCCACAACTTCGTTAGCGCCGCTAGCCACATTCTCGAATATTGCCTTCTGTTTCAATTTGTTTTCGTGATGTTTAGCGGCGCGTTTTGCTTTGCGCTCCTTCTCTTTTTCCTTTTTCAATTGCGCTTTGGAGGGTCCAGCAGGCGGTGTGTTTAAGTAAAATGAGCTTGCGCTTGGCGAATTATCAGGGCTGGTTTTACGTCTGAATGGTGGCTGTGGCTTTTCAACGCTAACCGGCAATGACATGTCTAAGAAGTACTCATGCCGTGAGGACACATTATAGCAATCTTGGCAAGTAAGCGTGGACACTAAAAAGCCGCGGAAAACTTGCTCGGGTCGAAGTATACGATCAGCTGCTTGATTGCCATATATTTTACATTTCTGGCGCATTTCCTCAGACACACTGTTTATATCCTGATCCTTGTAACCCAAATTGGTCAAAATTACACGCTGGTAACGCTTTAAGTCCTCAGATCTGTTATGAGAGAAGATTAATGCATAACACACCAACAATAATGTTGACACTTACCTGACGCTCTCCAGTAAATGGCGTAGTAATTCATGGGAATCATGTTGATCGCCGCCACGAAACTGTGGGCATTTTGTGCAAAGCTTATCGAAGAGCTTGCTGGGCGTAAAAACACCGCCTGTTTTATTGAGACACATTGAATTAAATTAATAGCTAATAATATAAAAACACTTTGCAAAAAATATAAACGAACCGCTTGATTGCAACTCTTCCAAAGCCTGCGCCAGTGCCGCTGTAAGTCCACCCCACGATGACAAGGTACCTTTGATCATTGGCAAGTGCACATCTTCGTCGTCTTTGAATTTAAAAGTACCGCCTGGTAAAGTGAATCTGTAAATAGAATATTATTGCACCATTCAATATCTAAACTTCCAAGTTTCGTGCTTACTCTTCGCCGGGCTCTGATAGCTCTTTGAGCACATCTAGCAGATAGGGTGTTTGAGCCAAACATTGCATAACTGCATTAAAGAAACATGTATTGCCCAGATTTGTTAAGCCACGCACACGCGGCAGTGTTTCTACTGATTGCAGGTCGTATGTGTTGGCTTGTTTATTGGTAACTACGGGTGCAGATACCACGGCTGGATCTGTTATTCGCTTAGCCATACCTGGTATGGGCGGCGGTGGTGGTGGTGGTAGCGGTATTGGCTTATTTGTTACACTCACTGCTTGAGTCTCAACTAATGGATGTAAAGATTCCCAAGTCGATAGTATTTTTCCTTCTATGTTATTAAGTGGTGTGCTTTTCGCGGGTGATGCAATGGGTATTGGTTTTTGGGCAGCTTTTTTTACCATTTCAACACACTCCAATAGATTTTTACGAGAATTGGATTTAACTTCGTTATCGCAATCGTAACACCATATTTCAAACGTACGCGTGTTCATAGTGAGCGCATGTGAATCAGAGTGAGGTGTCTAAATTATATAAAGGTATAATTGAGGAAATTCATTTTCATAAATGTATTTATATTTTTATGATTACTTTGTAATGCTGTAAAGCGTGCTGATTTCTTGACCGTCCACAAAGCTGGGAACCACACTTCAGACATAACCAAAGTGTGGTGTCATACTCGAAACCGGCTAGCGAATCGTCCAGAATTGACTCCTTAACTTCCTCAGCAGGTGAAGTAGCGCCCTGTTTGGAGCATTGCATGCAGTCCGCAGCCAGACCACTTGCTTTTAGTATTTTGCGCAACTTTGTTGGATCAACAGATTTTTTCACATGCTGACAAACTCCAATGCCGGATGTAGGGCTCTGCAGCGCACCTTCGGATGAATCAGTCGATGAACCGTCATCATGTACATCAGATTGACGTTTCTTCTTAACCATAACTAAACAAGTTTGTCTGTGAATAATCAAAGTGACAAGGTTAATATTAGAAAATACGTTACACGTTCGTAAAACTAACTTAAGGTCTTTGTTGTTATAAAATATTACGGTTAGGTTTAAAAAAAAAATTAACATATGTGTCCTTAAAGAAAATTACATTTTTTCTATGTCAAAAATTGAAAATTTGTCGGTATTGAGGTTAAGATCACACGTCTGCACAAATAATAGGACACAACAAATACGACCGTACATTAAAATGAACAAAAGAATAAAAAAAAAGGCAGTACTTCAAACGTTTTGCATGACCCACACGAAGGGGTGAAGGGATTGACAAGTGGTTTAATGCACCGCTCGGTGTACCAGTATTCCGCAATATCAAATTGTAGCTAATATTGTTGAATGCTTTCAGTTCTTTGTTTTTGGATGCAATACTCGTACAATAACTTTTCTCGTATTAAACCTACACCCGAACAAATATTAGTCTTTGTCCTAGTTTTTTCTACAATAAGCACGTTTCAAAAAGTGTGATTTCACGCTGTAACTTCTCACTATGGCACACTTTTAATTTATTTACCTTGAAACGTTGGTATAGTTTCTCGGACGTTTTCTTTAAGTTTTTACAATATTTTTAGCATACACTAATAATGACTTTCCAATTAACTAACGCCAATTTCTTTCCAATTTGTATTGTCTAAAATTTTCACAAAATGTGACTGTCAAAAATCAAGAGATGTCAAAAATTATTTGGCGTGTCAGCAGCAATACAGTATTGTATTGCTAGTAATTTAAAAATGTTTTATATAATTTGTTTCAGCTGTTAAAATTTATTTATTACAAATTGCAATTTTATTCTCCACAACAATGTTTAGAATTTGTAATTTTGTATAATTTACACGGAAATTCGCGAGAATAAATTATTAAAACAAAATAATAAATTTACCAATAAATAATGCATGTGTGCGCCCTGTGCTGCAGCGCACCATCTATGTGTGATGTTATAAATTCGTATAAAAAATCTGTTCTTGACATTTGAATATAAATTTTTGCGGCATTGACATCTACATACAATTTATTTTATCTGCTTTGTAAAGCCTAACATTAAGTATTCAAATCTTAAATCTATTTAAAACTAAAGAAGCTCAAGAATGTGGTTGAGCTTTTATGGTCGAACGTTGCTGGTAGAACACTTTTTTTTAAACGAGTTTGATTACAGGAATTTACCAAGGCATTTGTCAATGGGTTCGGTTGTTCGCGATCTCATTCATATAGATATGTATGTATCTCATTAATATATCTCATGCTGTTGTCCTCTATTTCCTTCTTTACCATAGGAATATCAAGATCTTTATGAATGTTTTCATTACGCTTGTAGCTTGGTGAACCCGTGATTGTTCTACGCATTTTAGTTTGAAACCTTTGTATTATATCAATGTTGCTTACCACACCATTGAATGCCATACATATGTAGGTACATATGTACATTCAAATCGGTTTTATGATTGCATTGCTTAGCAAGACTTCGTTGTCTAACTTAAATATAATATTAATGAATATTTTGCGTGCGGAGGTGGTAAATCACTCAATCTGGAAAATTAGTGTCATTGTTTGCAAACAAACAGCAATGTGGGCAGGATATTCAAAGTCAAGCAGCTGGTTTACTATTCTCCAAGCTCTCGCTGTTGTGCTTTCGCCGAAATTACATTTCAGACAACTAAATATGTATATATTGGGACTTCCACGCCAGCGCTTACTGTCATAACCAATGTTATTATGGCTGCGCCCTGGTTTGAGTGCCCTCTTTATTTATAAGGATACTGGTAGATTAGTAGTAAAATAGCTCCGCTGAGTTATATACTCTTACGGAACACATTTTCTTCGAGACATACTTTTTTTTTATGGTTTCATCTCKTTGAGTGGAACTTCCTGCCTGTCACTAACGCTTCTGATTATTCCTACCATTGACCAATAGCCGCTGCCACTTTTAATTGCCGCAATGCGCTGCCAGTTTGCTAATGCAATTGAGTGGACCGTTCAGCGCGATAAGCAGGCAACATCTTATCGGCGCTTATCTCCAACGTCACTTGAACGTTGCTGCTGCACGCTCGCGTTTTAACGCAACAACAGTTTCATGGGAATGTATGCGCCCATCATAAGTGCAAACACCACGAGTGCTTCGGGATGCGCCACAGAAATGGATACATTTGTACATACATACATACATACATACATATATATATATATGTACGTGGCTGTGTGCTGCGAAAAGTAAAGATGGAATACAAGTACATGTAGAAAAACGAAGCTAATCAGTTGCGAGCGAAAAGCAGCAGCAGACCCGACTGCACTAAAACGAGCATGTGCCAATGTTGGTATGTACATACATATGTACATGTATATAGGTTGGCTTTGGTCACGGCTGGATGCGGCCATACGATCGGCGGCAGTTGATGAAAGAACCGATGGCATCACCATCGAAACGTCAAGCCGATATCATTGGCAATGACGTTGACGACGTGCACCGACATGGGCAACAACAACTGCGAAAAGCAAATATTGAAAGTGCTGGCAACGTGGCTGCCGCACTTATCTGACGGATACAATAAATGCATTTTAATTGTAATTAAAATTACATGCGACAGCAGCGATGTGGGGCGCAAGTTTTTATAGGCCATGAGCGATAATGTTGTGGTTGTATTCGTGTATGTATTTATGTATTTTACTATCGCGCTTTCGGCGGCTTAAATTATCATAGCTATTAATCGCGAAACCCGCTTTCGAGCTTTAATTGACGTTTCATAGCTCGACGATTAAGAGACAAGTTTGCTTACTTAATAGCTTGAAAACGTAGAACCATTGAGAACAAGACGTCTGGCTTGCTGAACCCCAACCAATCGCTCGGAGAATATATTTCATGATTAAGTCCAAGAAGAACAGACATAGAGATTACGAGAACTGCCTCATCTCCACAATATTTTGCTTTCCAAGAAAAATAATAACAATTCGGAGGTTTTTGGCCATTAGAGGACCTAGAGACGACATTACCATGAGGACGAATTTAAGTTTAACAGTTTAGCAACGGAGAATCGTATGAATAGATAGGTGATACTAGAGGACCTAGAGACGACATTACCATGAGGACGAATTTAAGTTTAACAGTTTAGCAACGGAGAATCGTATGAAACTATTATGGATATAAATGGACTCTAGGACACTGGACTTTGGGCGCAGATTATTATATAATATATATTAACGTCAAGTAATGGAATTAATGTCATGAGTGTAAAACTTACTATCTCACCGATCGTTCCACGTCTTCTCTGCAAAGAGCCTGACATTCTTTCTCACTAAGTTCAAAGCGGTCATAAAAACTGGAAGAACAAATGTAACTTAATACCACATAATTTCCGAGTATCATCAACCATAAGATTATAGGCGTGAGACCTTATAGCCTATACACCTTCACACCGCATACGACCGCGATTATTGCCAAAGTACAGAGCTGCCATAAAATCCTTAAGTCGCTTGGCGGCAGTAGCTGGGGCAAAACAAAAAACCGCTCTTGGCGACATCAAGACAATCGGTTGGTCGTTCATTAACTTCGCAGCATCGATATGTTGTAGTGAAACGCAGACGAAGAAGCTTCAGATGTGGCAGAACACGTGTCACGTCCAGCACCTACATAGCGAGGTCTGCATGCTTCCGGTTGAGGAACATAATACTCTCCAAAACAGTTTCTGCTGCGATGTTTTCGTAGAAATTCCACTCATCTAACAATTTTTCTCTATGGTCCGACCACGTCGAAACAGCTCTTTGCCAGAGCTTAACTTTAGATGACTTCGTTGACAACCAACTTAAACTTAATCACCCCAGCAAGGATTAGATAAACGCTACAACAACAACAATAACACGAAGGTATTTAGGGAAATAAGATAGTTGACTATCTGGCTAGGAAAGCGACGACCCAAGAAAAGATGAATATCGATAGTAGCTCCGAACTCTTGGATTTTGTCAAACGAAGCTAAATGATGTTCACAAGACACTGCAGTTTGTGGCGTCGGAATTTGGTCCACCGAAAGCAGTCTCTAGGACGTACAAAGGCATGGGCGCATTCGCAAGAGTGGAACCTCTATTACCACAAGCGTGTGGTAGGACTTTTTTTAATGTGGTTAGAAGAATTGATTGAGAGCACAGATAATAGACCAAACCTTGCAGTGGGAATTTGTAATTTCATCAAATAAATCTTGGAAGCTCTACACCTTTATGTATACAATATAGCCCTTCATTCTCTTTTTCAGCAACCCAAACGTCCTTAGAATTATGTATTAAGAAATGCTTCCCTGGCTGTATAAAAATCCCTAAACTTGCCTGTTATCTAAACGATCAAAGGAAATTATGTTCTGAAGATATGTATATCAGATATTATGCGGATCTTGGATTAGTTTTCACCATGAATTTCGGATCATACAACTTTTGTAAACTGAAATTACGGTCTTTTGAATGCCCACATATTGTACATACATACCATCTTTTAATAGCACAAAACTCAAGGCTTTGTTACCAAAGACGATTGCCGCAATTGCAGAAGAATCATTTTTAGTCATGGCTAAACTCGTTCTCCTGCGCTTTTCTCGTGCTTCCCCCGCTGCATTTCGAAGTGATTCGTTACGCATTCGCTTCGCTCATATTTTCTTTGGCCACACTCTTTGTATGTATATTCGCCATAATACATTTTTCATGCGTTCTGTTGTTGTTTCGTTGCTTCGTGTTGTGTCTGGGATTACCTTTGTGTTGTGTTTCAACTTAATTCAGCAATCAGAGTATAACAAAACGCAACATAATGAAGCTGCAGACATAAACTCCCTATAATTACCGACACCCGGGACGATGTAAATGCATCGTAATCGTACCGCCCCCTAGGGTAATAATTCATAAAAACGTGCGCGATTTTCGAAATGCCCACGAATGAAGCTGAAGATGCATATTGACACGTTGGACCGTAGCAACGAAGAGGAGTAGAAGCAGTGCAGGACGACGGTTAGTCTGTCTGTCGATGCAAATAGCCGTACCGGTATGAGGTATGAGTACGTGTACCATATTAATAGTCATTTTCAGGGTTGGGCACTTGTTCGAATTCATGCGCCTCAGTCGGTCTTCTGCGGCGGTACTATGGAAAGTTTAGATATTACAACGAATAAAAAAATATTTTCAACGTGCAGAAACTAATATTTTGGAAAATAGTTTATAATTCGAGAAACCCGCAGAGAAATAGCAAAGCTTACGTGGTAACAGCGCGCACGTCGTTCTTCCTTTTCGCTTTTTTGGTGGCAATTGGAGTTTCCAAGTGTAGCCATGTCCCTCTCCACCTGGTCTCGTGGAGGTCTTTCTCTTCCATCGGCGGGTACCGCATCGAATACTTTCAGAGCTGTAGTGTTTTCATCCATTCGGCCAGCATGACCCAGCCAACGTAGCCGCTGCCTGTTAATTCACTGAACTATGTCAAAGTCATACTCACAGCTCATTGTTCCATCGAATGCGATGTACGCCAATGTGTAATGCCAATAGTTCAACAGTTATGCGCATATTTATCTCTATCTCCGCCCGGATCTTTCTTAGAATCTTAGAAAGAGAATTTTAGAAACCCACAACTCTTGATAAGAATGGGTGAGAAGACAGTAGAAGTATTCATTTCGTCGTTACGTCAAGTAA